TTTTTTTTTTTTTTTTGATTAACAGTTGATGTGTATAATACATTCAAATCAACGGCGCAACATTATTGCTTCATGCGTCTCACTGTTTTTTCATCATTAACGTGTGACAATCTCAGTGCTCAAAGACCAGAGGAAAAAAAGGAGAAGAAGAAAAGTTGATAAAACCGTTGTCGTTATGTTACCTAATCGTCCCAACTTACTAAAATTTGTCTTCAGTTAATTGCTTGCCTCCATAAACTGTTTGGCATTATTAACGGTAAAGCAACAGTGGTGCATGAAAATTAATTTTGAAATATACAACGTTGAAAAAAGTAAAAATTTGTTCTTTTGCAGAATTCTAGTAAAATTTTGTTGACTTTTGATGAGCATTAGTTGTTAATGGATATTAGAAAAAGTTAATAAAGGTGAAAAATTGATCAACATCACCAACACGACTGTTAGTGCTTCTGCTACCACTGCCATCGTCTGACAAACGATCACTGCCGCAAGATTGATTGTAAGCAGAAAAAAAGGAACACACACACAACTGCAAATGAATAGTTTGTTTCTTTTTTGAAAAAAAAAACTTGTCAAACTGCAAAAAAAAGCAGGGATAAAAAGCAGAAAAAAAAAAGAGCTTAGCTATGCTTCCTTTTCTCCCTCGGACTTCATTCTTTTCTACAAATTATAAAAATTTTTGTCTTTTTTTTGATAAATTTTCATGAATGATTGCATCAGAAATTTGTGCTTTTAGGATGACGTAAAATATACTTAATGTGCTTACAAAAGAGCTCATGTTAAACAAAAAATAAAAGTCTACAAAAAAAAAGTCTACAAAAAAGTAGGCTTAACAGTAAACAGTTGATACACGTAATGGATTGCAAGGAATGCAGAGGAGATACGAAAATATGGCACAAACAGCTGATGACTGATAATAATATTAAAAAGATGTGGTCTGTTCAAAACAAAATTTCAATTATTTTTTGTTTTTATTTTGCTTTTAATTTAATTTAATTTTATTTATTTAACTTTTTTTTTTTGGAGAAATACATTTATTGTATAGTATATGTTAAGTAAGTTTTCGAACACTTTTTTTTGCTCTTTATTAAAAAATAGAAATCACTGTTTCACTGTTGTCTGTCGTTTAATATTGTTGTTTGTTTTGGGTTTTCGTGTTGTTCTGGTTGTGGTTGCTGTTGTTTTTTGTTGCTATCGTTGTTGTTGTTGTTGTTGTTGTTGTTACTATCGTTCCCAATTATTATATTATCTGATATTTCGTCCATCTTTTTTGGATACTGTCTTTAGAACTTCTCCGCGAAGATATGGATTCTCCAGCTTATGCATTCCATTCATGTCAAAATACAGTGAACGTTTCCGGCGTGGTTCCTAAAACAACACATTTGTTTCATACCTTTGTAACTATCTGCTGATAACAACTGAGTAAAACAGCACTAAAGTCATACCATTGTTTATACTGTTCGCTAAACATTAATTTAACACACTCTTCAACACTGGACAAGTTTTATGGTCTAACTGCAACAAAAAAAGAGTGCCAAACATAATCAGACTTATGGGTCTGATTATTCTATGATATACATCATATACAGACACATAATGAAATCCGTATAAAAATGTCCATTCTTAGCATCATTACAGCTAAGATGATGAAACGAAATCTCAATGAGCCTTAGAAATGAAGAAAAAAGAATTAATATTTACCATAAAATTTTCTCTTTTTTCGTGGAATTTTTTGGCAATTAGATTCTTGTGAAATCCATTTTGGTCCAGCATTTTTTGAATATTTTCCTCTAGATCTTCAAAACCTTTTCCTGGACAACTGAAAGAAAAATTATTTCAAAACACTTCTCCTGAACAACCTGATTTACTATTCATCAATGACACTGTACAAAAAAGTATTAAAAGATAGGTTAAATTTTTTGAAGCTTTTGTTGAAGTATTACCATAATTTTTTGAAAACTTTATTGAACAAGAAAATTTTCTGCCAATCTAACCTGAACATATGTTCATGGTCGCATGCACAAGTCTGGCTCTCCTGATATGCTTTTGAGAATTCAGCTGTATTATCGAATTCCTCCAGACAACCATCTGCGCCACTGTAGCCTACTGGACATGGATTTGGTGGATCACAATATGCCGGTAAAACGTTATCGCTTTTGACCTATTCAATTTGATCGATGAACAATTAGCACAGAAACTGCTGGTGAAAAAACCAAAAATAGTTCTTCTGTAGTTGAAGCAGTTAATCTACCGAAATACGTAAAATTTCAAAAAAATTTGAAAAAAAGTATCTTTTGCCATCGGTTTATTACAAAAAAAAGCACTTTTTTCTTGATAATTCTAATCAGATAACTTTAAAAGTGTCACACTTTGTCTCTGCGTATTTACATAACTCGTGTGAAAAAAATAACCTGTTCACGTTCTTCAAAGTTGGATTCAGGACGAAGTTGTTGTGTACCTTCTCCTGCACCACCTAAAATAAATTTTTCTTGACAGATCTGTCGTTATAATCTTAGTGCACTATCTTTAAACACCACATTAAATTCTAGTATTTTCACTCTAGATTTTTCATTGTATCAATTTTTCAGACTCAGTTTTGTCGCAGTTTTAAATCGAATTAAAAATTAACCAAAAAAAATTTACATAAAATAATCTATTAGTAACCACCTACCAGTCATATACTTATGGCCAAATGCAATTGGACCTGGAAGCGCTTCAGCGTCTCGAGAAATTAAATCAACGAAATCGGGAAATGGCTAAAACAACAAAGAAATTCGTTGTCTTTAAAACAGTTTTGCAAAGAAAATAAATGATATTTAAGGTTGACTAAAAATGTACTGTTCAAATTTAAACTAAACATTGCACATGTGAATAATTTTACTCCGGAAAAAGCATAACAAAAAAGCAGTTTTTTAGCTACAAAAGGTCATTTGCTTCAGCGCCGTTTTTAAATCTAAAACTATTTTAGAATTCCCATCAAAGCACATTTTCAAATAAGGTTAAATAATGCAAAAAAAAAAGAAAGAAAGACTGTTCATCTCTGTTTTTTTCTTTCCTCATTTTTTTTTTTGCCTTGTTTTATGCATCGTTATTTTAGTGATCCGCCAGAATTCTTCAGCAAATCATATTGGCGTTTCTGAGTTAAAAAAAGCAGTTACCTTTTTGACCAAAATAACGGACAATATTTACCTGCTGTGGTGAGAGGTTTAACGAATGGACGGTAAAAAGTAAAAATGACAGTAGAAACAGATCAGTAAACATGGCTGAAAGTGTATTCATGAGCTAGATTTTCTCTCATAAATATGTCGATAGATAGCAAGAATGCCTCACGAACGCACGCATTGAAGGCAGTTGAATTGCAACGCGTAAATACTTTTAAGTTTAATGCAGGAGCTTGATTAGAGCCACAAAAGTCCAGTGAAATAGCGAAGCGAGAGCAGCGATGATTGAAAAGCCCTAGCAACTAACTACTTCATGCTTAAGTGTCAACAAGCAGCCTGGTCGCTAGGCGCTATTGATAATATGGCTTTAACGGCAGCGTCAACAGCAACAGCGAAACGACAGCAGCAGTCGAGGCGCACATTCCAAACGAAGACAGCCAACGGCTATAACGATAACGGCCAGCAACATACTTAGCCAAATTT